GCTGGACACTTTTTGTTGTGCGCATATTTAGACATCCTATTTTGCAAATGCTGCCTTCCTGAAATTGGGTATGCTTGTTTGTCTTTGTGTCTATGGTGTATAATGATGTGATTGTGGTGCTGTATTTCTGAGTATTTTATGTGCTGCAGAACAGGAACCTGCTGTAAAACAGCAATTATGCTGAGTCAGGCTTGATTTTTAATAATCTTTTCCTGTTAAATAAATAAAATAAAATCAATTGTTCTTGGAAATGGAGGTTGCTTAAGATGCTGTTCTTTTCCAAGTGAAGATTATGAAACCGAACTTTAAAATAGTCTTTAAAGGAGACATATCATTATTTTTAAACCCTTCTTTCTCACATTTAAATCATTCAGTTGGGGTCTGAAGTGGAACTGCAATGCTTTGGTTTGAATTCCTCCTTATTGTAACTACATAAGGCCCTCTTTGATCGCTTCTCTGAGGCGTGTCTCAGATCAACTCGTTTTGAAGCTGTGTCTTTAAATCCAAATGAGATGCTTCCCACCCTGCAGCTACCAGAGCAGTCCTTTCTAATTTGCTAGAGGGGTTTACAACTATATAGCAGATCAGAAACATATATAGAGGTGCCAACAAGGGAACACTTGTCCATCCAGMCTTACATGTTGGAACCAGAGTCTGACCCAGCGCTAGAGGAGAATGAGGACCACCAAGTTGTAGTTGGTAAGTTCAGACCTGATTTGACAGTTTCATCACAAATAATGACATACAGTAATAGTTCAGAAAACTGAACAGATTGAAAAATATGACCAAAACAGAATATATGCAGCACCAGGAAAAGCTAAATTCAACATGTCTGCACTCCTAGAGGCTCCACGTACAAAACAAAATGCATTTATCAGCTAAAAAAGTGGATTTTGCACATTTCCCCTTTRGAAGAGTCGTACTGATCAAAACCCCACCCAGATCTTTAATCTTCTACCCTCAGTTATTAACTTTCAAATACAAAAGGTTGACCAAAAACATTTTTCCTTTTGTTTAACTTCATTTATCTCCACAGAACATTATTCAGAGGTTTAATTTGAGTTTGGGCAGTAATAAGAGAGTGCACTCTGTGAACCTAAAAAACTGTTCACCCAAAGAATATTTTACATGCATGACAGAGCAGTTTCATCGTGCAGCAAGGCACACATTTCTGTATGCAACAGATGCAACAGAAGAAATGAACAATACATTAAGTAACATTTTATACATGGCACGTTGGTTGGTGGCCTGTCTTGCAGTCATTATACGATATCTTAGGTGAACATCATTAAACAGATCAGTCAAACAAGATGGCACTACAGCAGAAATAGCACAATTTCGCAGCAGTAACAGGAAACTCGTGGTTTTCGAATGAGTTTGCCGACTTCCCTTTTGACAGCTTTATCTTTTGTGCAAACTCAGCTGCGCATTTGAAGAAACAGAGCATCAAATGCTGTCAAAGCAGATGGTTTAGACCTTTTTTTAATCCACCACTTGCTCAATTCTGTTTTTAGTCTGACTGACTAAGTCAGTCAGTCGTAGGTGTTCATCCAGTGTTTGTTTGTTCCAGTAAAATCTGTCTGATGGTTTGTGAGAACACACAGACAAACAGACAGAGCAATATTACCCTCCTGGCTGCAGGTGATAACCAGTGTAACCATCCTCTATACAAACACTATTTCTAAGTGCCATTTATAGCAGTAAGACTTAATAATATGAAAATGATTAGGGATGTCTTCTACTACTTAAAGTCTGCCTATTAGTATTTGACTTTGGTCAATGGTTCTCAAATTGTAGTACAAGTACCCAGTCTGGTAC